ATGGTATCACGGACCCGTCCACCACACGAATACCCCTCACGCCAATCACCCGGAGCTGAAGGTCGACCACACTGTTCTGGTCGTCGGCGGGGCCCATACGACAGGTGCCCATTGGGTGGTAGATAATCGAGGTGTACGTCTGGACCATACAGCGCAGGTAGGCGTCAGAGTAGAGTGTATGGGTCTTGCATTGGGGGTACGGCGTCTGAATGGGAGTGGCTTTATATTTTTGTAGGGGTGGTGTCTGGGCGACAGCCAGCGCCAACTTCATGCCCTCAACGAGCACATCCAGGTCTCGTTCGTCGCTGAAGAACTTGGGATCAATCACTGGGTGTTTGAATGGGTTGGCCGATCGTAGGCGTATGAATCCTCGGGACAGGGGTCTCAATAGCGTCGGTAGTATTGTGAATGCAGGCAAACCTGTATATGGTTTGAAAGCACTGTATAACTCGTCGGTCAGCCCCTGTACTTTCCTAATCCGTGCGCCGTAGTCGCTTGATGTCGACCCTAAAAATGACATTGATCATTTCATTAGTAAAACAAATGTTTAATTAATGTTTATAACAAGAATGTAATCAACATTATGTTTATAAAATAAGTTTTTGCAACTATCTAGTAGTCTATAAACTTCGTATTATAATGTTTTATTAAATGAATTTAAATCTTTTTAATATAATAGTAATTTCATACCCGGGAGCACATGAAACTGTATGTCTGGCCAGTCGTCACTTTGATCGGCGTATTTAGTCTTCACGAAAGCCATCGTCTCTAATATAGTGTTGGAAAGGCTGTTGTTTTTGTTCACATAATACTGGAGCAAATGCCAGGGACTGATCTCTCGCATCATGTCGTAGGACACGGTATCGTTGAGTGTGAAGACCACACTACTGGCCACGTGGTCCATCAGATTGTCACCTACTGGGAGGTCGGCCACCACTTTGATGCCCATACTCTCCAAGTGATCTTTATGTCCAATGCCTGACACAAACATAATTATAATTAAAACTCATTTTACTATAAATTTAAAATCCTAATCAATGGCAGAATATTTCCCATAATTATACACATTATACTATAAATCTTAATACTAAACCCAATACCTATCCAGATCCCAGTCCTGTCTGAGTCACATACCTGACAGCATAAGCACTTTGGGCGACATTACAGTACCGGCCGATAGTATGACTTCTTTGCGCACCCAAACCACGTGTTTGCGGCCATACCTCACAAACTCGACCCCAACCGCCCGCTTCTCGTCGTTGAACAACACTTTCGTCACAAAACTCTTCGTAAAGATATGCA